GGTTGATGGCGTCTCATCGTAACCCGCGCCTTATGTAGCTACACACAATGTGTGTCCTGTTGATGGTGCCTCATCGTAACCAGCACCTTATGTAGCTACATACAATAGGTACTCTGGTTGACGGTGTCTCATCGTAACCCGCACCTGATGTAGATACACACAATGTGTGTCTTGGTTGAAGGTGTCTCATCGTCACTCGCACCCTATGTAGCTACACACAATGTGTGTCCTAGTTGACGGTGTCTCGTCTGAACCCGCATCTTATGTAGCTACAAACAATGTGTGTCCTAATGTAACCCACACCCTATGTAGCTACACACAATGTGTGTCTGCTTACGGTCTTGTCAGCTTTTAATGTCGCTGAAGGTTCACTCATTTATTAAGACGTCACAACAGTTGCTTCTCTTTGTGAAAATCAGTCACAATACCGGAAGGTTTCACAAGTAACCTAAAGGGACCTCAATTTACAATCAAGTTACAGAAAAGGGTATCATCAGTCGGATCTTCTTAATCTTCTTAATAGGACATTATATTATAATAACATTAAAACATAGTCGTTTTTATTATTCCATACACTTTTACTGCCTCATAACTGGTTATCCGTCGCAATTAACATAGCTTTACTTCCCTAGAATTGTCATAAAATTCTGTGAATATAGATACTAATTCATTGTGTGCCGGGTTGTTGAAAACGATGGTTCTCTGTTCACATTTGAATATAGTAGTTTAATCTCTCTCTTTGTTGTTCTCTCATTAGGCCATATTTCCTTCCCTATCTATTTTCAGATTTTTAATTCGATTTTGACTTTGGAAGCATCCTTCCCTTTTCCGCTTTGCAACAAAACACGAATTATGTCCCTTTCATAACCCCCCCCCCCAAAAACAAAAACAAAACCATACTCACTCACTCATTAAACTAACATGCCGTGATATAATATATATACAGAAACTTAATCACCCACTCATTTATTCCTTATGTAATCTGTATTCATATCCGACGTTTGTTCTGACAAGCTTATCCTAAAAACAATAATAATCGTAGTAGCAGGTAAGCCATATATTTGTTTAAATGGTTTTAGAGACAAAAAAACCAGTCTTAGACAAAAAATGACTTTTGACAAAAAAAATTAGGTGAAATAAAAACACCACACCTGAGATTTTATCATCTCTGTTCGTAAGAAATGGTGAATAATACGTATAAAGATCTTTGTTTTAACCAACAACAAAAACACAATCAATTATCAGCCCGTATCGTTTCGCAATCGTACTTCCGAGTTTGGTTTTAATTTATCAGTAGCAGTAATAAACTGGAGATGAAAACTATTGTTTCTCTTTTTTTCGAGTACATGCATTGACATTGAGGCCGAAATATTTGGATCTTAACCAATGAAAAATAAAAGGTCTTTCGACTGTGAGTGAGTGAGTGAGTGAGTGAGTGAGTGAGTGAGTGAGGTTGATTTTACGCGGCTTTTAGCAATATTCCAGCAATATCACAGCGGGGGACACCAGAAATGGGCTTCACACATTTTTGATAACATTCTTATGGTGATTTCATGTTGCATGGGTGAGGCGGTCGGGTAGCCTAGTGGTTAAAGCGTTAGCTCATCACGCCGAATATTGCTACAAGCGGCGTAAAACCTCACTCACTCACTCACTCACTCACTCACTCACTCACTCACTCACTCACTCACTCACTCACTCACTCACTCACTCACTCACTCACTCACTCACTCACTCACTCACTCACTCACTCACTCACTCACTCACTCACTCACTCACTCACTCACTCACTCACTCACTCACTCACTCACTCACTCACTCACTCACTCACTCACTCACTCACTCACTCACTCACTCACTCACTCACTCACTCACTCACTCACTCACTCACTCACTCACTCACTCACTCACTCACTCACTCACTCACTCACTCACTCACTCACTCACTCACTCACTCACTCACTCACTCACTCACTCACTCACTCACTCACTCACTCACTCACTCACTCACTCACTCACTCACTCACTCACTCACTCACTCACTCACTCACTCACTCACTCACTCACTCACTCACTCACTCACTCACTCACTCACTCACTCACTCACAAAGGGATTTGATTATTATTGAACGATACCAGATCATTCATATACCGGAACCTTCAGTTAAACCTCTTAGCCAAATTAAGTGTTTTGACCTTGCTCGACCGAGCAGACATTTCCATTCACCACAATTGCAGCCCATGATGGGTGCTTTTTTCCTGTCCTACACTCAAAGCTTACGCAGATACTAGCAATGACGAAGTTGAGCATTACGCATATTTTTCTCTCAGTAAACTTCAGATGACATTTGCTTTTGATAAATTTACCTGAACCTCTGAAGATTGATATGTAACTGTATCTTTGGTTACCACGTTTTGTAACAAAAGCCTCAAGGAATGAAATTTTCCTCAAGTTCGTCTTGGTCTGCAAAGTTGAAAAATGTTTTGACAGAATTGATCTAGGCTCTTTTCTACGGTTTTATAATGTCAAGCAAATCCTTTGAGTTTTTAAGAATCCACATGATATTAATTCCACTTGTCTCAAATACTTTGAGTGAATATAAAGAAAGCCCTTCCTTGATTGTATTCAGGACCATTCATGATTTGCTGGACCATGCAATATATTTCTCTTTGTACGGATTTTATGGATTTCTTGGAATCCAGTACATAAGAAGAACGGACATTCTTCAGATGTGCATGTGTTTGTGACGGGTGCCACCGATTCATGCTCTTGACTTACAAAATAGTAATGAAACAAGAGATTTATCCATAATACCTTTTCAACACGATGCAGCAGGAAATAGATATGAGCAGCTGACATTTGATCTTCTTTGCTCTCGCTTTGAAGTATTTGGGCAATAACCACGGACAAAACGGTCATGAATGTCTGAGGGGTAGAACCTAAATAGAAGTCTGAACCAATAGTGAAGAAGCCTTTGGAGCTAGGGGAGTTGGGTGTTTGTCGAATGTTATTCCCATGTATTTGACAGCTACATGCACACCAGGAACAGCAGGTGGAACAGCAGATGGAACACTAGTATGTTTGGGACTTCGTGTAGTACGTATCGCACGTGGAGCCATACTGGGTGGAGGGGAGACAACACTGTTGCCTGAATCACAAGATCACCAATTTCTAGTTTTACAATGAATCACAGGATCACCAATTTCAAGTTTTATTATGAATTCAACATCACCGTTTTGGAGCCAAAGAATTAAGATATTGGACATAATTTATTTAGGGTCAACTGTCAAAATTAGCACCACAAATTTAATGGTCACATCAGAAATGATAGTTTCAGTGTGAGTTATGTCTTGATGTTTTCGGGGTCTTTTTATACCATGTTGATGTAACGTTCTGCAAAATATGCATCAGTGGACCTTTCTTCAAAGACAACTGCATTTGAATTATTGCCATTCTCGTCACTATCGCTATCCATATTGAAGCGATTTCCATTTAACAACGAGCTCGCCAAAACAGTCAGCCAAAACTAAAACCAACCACGTCGGGCGAGAGAAGCCCGTGCTACAACGAAAATTTAACACCGTAACAGGATAAGCCACCAGTAAGATCCTGACTGTAATATAAACCTATTATTGATATACTAATCCTATTTCAACAAGAAACGTGGAAATGTAACGATATCTGACCCCATACAACAAAAACGGAGAGAGATACTGACAACACGTGCTCGTCTGACCTCGCCGACAATCTGAAACGATCTTCCTTCTTCGGGAATGACGTTCTATGTGGAGTGATGTCCCTTGGATTAACATGTCTGGCTTGACAACATGATCTGCTGTCTGAGGTCAACTAAAGACTTGTAAAGTAGAAGGGCCTTAATGTAGTAGGACAGAATGAAAGGGTATGGGTAAAAATACAACTTCAGCGCAAAGTCAAGTCATCTGGTTGTGAATGCCACCGAATCCCACTGTGAATGTCTTTGAATCCCTCTGTAAATGTCATTGATTCTCCCAGTCTGTGAATGTCACTGAATCTCTCTGTATGTGAATGTCATTAAATGTCTCTGTCTGTGAGTGTCACTAAATCTATCTGCCTGTAAATGTCAGCGAATCCCTCTGTAAATGCCACTGAATCCCTCTGTCTGTTAATGTCACTGAATCCCTTTGTAAATATCAGGGAATCCCTCTGTCTGTGAATGTTCCTGAATCCCTATGTCTGTAAATGTCACTGAATATCCCCCTGTAAATGTCAGGGAATCCCTCTGTCTGTGAATGTTCCTGAATCAATATGTCTGTAAATGTCACTGAATCCCTCTGTAAATGTCATGGAATCCCTCTGTCTGTACCTGCCAATACATCCATGTACCCGTGAAATCATTGAATCTCTGTCTGTTAATGTCACTGAATCCCTCTGAATCCATCTCTGTGTACATGGCATTGACTCCTTATATCTGTAAATTCATTGAATCTCTGTCTGTAGACGTCACTGAATCCCACTGTCTGTGAATGTTACTGAATCAATATGTCTGTAAATGACGCTGAATCCCTCTGTAAATGTAATTGAATCCCTATACCTGTAAATTCATTGAATCTCTATCTGTGAATTTGACGGAATCCCTCTCTCTGTACATGCCAGTGAATCCCTCTATCAGACTATTCATTGAATCTGTTTGTGAGAGGGCAACCGATGTTGACAAATGTCTCTTGCGATTGGCATTAGGGGAATATCCATCGACTTTATACAACATACAAACAGTGTGACTGTTGACAGTTGAAATGCTATGATTATGGCAAGATCCGTCCACTTCAACTGTTGGCGTCGATTCGGCTTCATTGCATTAATGCTTCAGAATGGCAGCGATGGGATATCGTTGCATTTACGACATATTAATCAAGTTTCAAATTTCAAAGGTAAAGAGCAAAATATGAAAAACGCAATACCAACTTCTTACAACATTAAGGATTTATTTCAATATTGAAATTGAAAGTAGAACCAATAATATGAGCTTCCACGTGATAAAATACATTAATGGTATCATTCATCCAAAGCCATCCACTTGTCGTGATAGTTATCCAATTTCTACTTTCCAGTTTATAAACTGTCTGATAGGGCTGCATAAAAATGAATTGGTCATGTATCTGAGACATATATAAAGTATATTGTGTTGAACCTCAAGTATGGTTGAGCGGTAGATGGACACTGATTTATATCTCTACGTGACATGTGTTTCTCTAAATAGGACAAACCGATACAAACACCATGCTTGGTCAACTGGAAATCAGGAGAAACTAGATGATCTTATTTATATCCATCAATCTGTCTTGCTCCCTTCAAAACCGTTTCCCTGAAAAGAAATAACATACATTTATAACATGGCTCCTTTGTCTTTCACGATGCTCCAACTAACTGAAATGTTAGTTAAACACCACTTGGCAATGACGGAACTTCTTTTCTTTCCTATCATTACTCTATGCATGCATTTATGATTTGGTAGCTTTTCGTTCAACGAAAAGAACAGATGGACACGAAATTACTATTATCTTGATGACGGCTATGCTTGATCATAATAGACCCAGCAACATGGGTAAGTAATGTTTCGGTGATTGATAAATGTGCTCGAGTAGGTACAAAATGAATAGTATAAGTTCCTGGGTCATGCATTTCAGACCCCGAGTCGGCAAAGAGGGGTGCACGTGCGAAAGGGTTCCTGAATATCATTCAAAATAACTTTAACAAAAAAATGTTTTTTAAGCGTTTTAGGTGCTGAATTTGCGCACATGGTTTTAATAGGTTAGAGCACTTGGACCATGGACCATAATGACAAATCTGACTCTAACTAACCCTTTTAAGGATTAGACACCAGGGCCCACTTGCACAAAGCGATCTTAGCGCTAAGATGACCGTAACTCCCATACTTTAGCATAGGCTTACAGTAGTCTCAGCGCTAAGATCGCTTTGTGCAAGTGGGCCCTGGTTAAAACACGAGGACCTGGGCCCACTTGCACAAAGCGATCTTAGCGCTAAGATGGCCGTAACTCCCATACTTTAGCATAGGCTTACAACAGTCTTAGCGCTAAGATCGCTTTGTGCAAGTGGGCCCAGGTCCTCGTGCTTTAACTAATACATATTGCAAGACATCATAGGAGCATAAGCAGGTTGATGTGAGTTTAACTGCAAAGTTAAACTGAAGTGTTATTTGTCCTGTAAAGGGTCCAACCATCCTCTCCTTAGGAACTTAAGGTCAACCTTATCCGCACAATTTGGATGAAGACGACTGAATCTAGTAGACACAGCAAATACCTAGTTGGTAGCACGTGTATACCCAGATCTGTTTCTGCAGTAATACTGACAAAACTAATTAGAAGTTGATGTGCTAATGCTGAACACATGACAGTCCACCGGATCTCTCCAATGACGAATACTGTTCAACCACGTACAGATGAGTTACAACCGAGAAGAAATTCTTCGAACACATATTTAAGCGTCAGTACGGCTAAAGGTTAAACCATCCACAGATATCTTGTAACCGCGTTTAGCTAGAATCGTTGGAAGGCCCGCTACTAATATATTAATGTTTACCAACTGAAACCCAGTATCAGGCATCGGGGCTCATCTCCCATCTCGCTGTGCAGCACGTTTCCAGCGGCATCACAACAACCTGTCATAAAGCCTGACTCCTGGGCCCACTTGCACAAAGCGATCTTAGCGCTACAACTATTGTAAGCCCATGCAAGCATGGGAGTTACGATCATCTTAGCGCTAAGATCGCTTTGTGCAAGTGGGCCCTGATCTAGCAGCATCTGAAGACAAACAGTTGTGTGGACCTATTCTGAACAGGGTTCTCATGGGGTATAAGTTGGTACCATTCAGCTTACCAGATCTCTTCCTCGCACATATAATGACCCTCAGGTACAGCCATTCCATTGAATCGTGAGTGGAGACTGAGAGAGTAGGCGCCCATGTTCTCAAAGTAGAACCAGTCCCCGATCTGGAGCTCGGGGAGAGGCCCTTCCTTCAGGACACAGTCACTGCCGTCACATGTCGGACCCCACAGGCTGGAGGTGAAGGTCACGTCACTAGCGGGTACCTGACATAACCATATACATATTAGAGTCAAATTCACACTGAGCGAGTGATTGGTTTTAACGCAGTTTTGAGAACTTTAAACAGGATTTAAGTTATTACATAGCGTGTCGGAATTGACAGCTCGAATTGACCGTTTTTTGGAGGTTTATCAGTTTGGAGAAATCCATGATCACAGGTACATCTGGGATTCGAACCCACGATCACCGGATTCACTGGTTACGGGTTTCTGTCACAAAAGGTCCTATGGCATTTAATTCTGCCCATTGAAACTATGGTCATCCTCAAATTAGAAAAGCATTTTACAAAAATGACGGAAAAGAAAATTCGCTTCCACGGTAATAGCCCCTTCACATTGCACAGGTCAGTTAGTGTCGAAATAGATTCATTTTTCTCTGAGGCCAAAATGGTTATACCAATGATCAAATTATTTTCTGAGCAGATATTTGTTAAAGTCATTATAAAATAGAAAGCTTCTGAATAATCGCAATAATCGTTGCATGTAATATTTGGGTACACTGCCTCACATTAATTGTGAAATTATTTAAACAGACAAAACGTGCGATCTCGGGCATAGACTACAGAATGAATTCCTTAGAAAATACAATTGAATATATTTATCTTAGATAAAACTTTCTCATCGTTTACATTTATCCAAATGACATATTATTGGTATTACTTTATAATTTATAGTTATGCAGTGGGAATAATTATTAATCTGGTTTTATTGGTTTTGTACATAAAGTGTTCACCTTGACTAATGTAGGTATCATGCAAGTGTCTTCTGAGAGAACGAAGCTTAACGATCCATATACACCGTCATTTATATAATACATATATCTTGGGGTGACGTCACGGGGCTTCTCCGGGTCCAAAGTCTTCACTGAGAATACAATAAATATAAACCAGTCGTGTACACATGTCAATTCCATTGTTGTGTTTTTGCAATTACTTTTTGGCATCAATTAAGGGATATTTTTGAATAATCACCGAACAAATTATTAATTTCATTAAATTGAAATATACTGATGATCAAAAGAAAGTACACCGAGAATTTGTTTTTGAGATATAGATAGTTTACAGAACGTAACAAATAGAACTTCGTTGCTGTATTTGGGTGATGCTGTATGAGTAAAATGACGTTGAGAAGACAACTTGCAATGCACGTTAAGTCAGTAAGTGAGTTTGGTTTAACGCTGATTTTAACATTATTCCAGTTATATCATGGCGTGTCAGCTTTATGTGGGAGTAAAGCCCGAAGATATGCAGGCTTTAGACGTTTACCATTTTGGTGAAACCCATGAGCACGCGTATGGTGCTGACAAACCAAAAAACATAACCTCTGCAAACCGGGATTCGAAATCAGAGTCTGGTTTGTGTGTCGAAGGGACGCAACTCGCACAGCGAATTGAGGCGCCTTAGACGACCGTGCCATCCCTGCTCCCAATGCACGTGAAGCATGATATTCGTGTACACAAGGGTATAAAAACGGTGGCATGGCAACCGAACGTTATCAGTCAACAGTAAAATACCCGAGAACATAGCAAGGCCAACGGCTGAACAACGAGAGAAAGCCTAGTGGTTAAAGCGTTCGCTCGTCACGCCGAAGACCCGGGTTCGATTCTCGGCATGAATATTGCTGGAATATTCCTAAATGCGGCGTAAAACCACACTCTATCACTCGTTCACCACGTAATCTCACAACAACGAGAAAGCGTATTTGTGCATGCGCTGTGCTGCAGATCTCACTCGAGGGAAGTCTGGGCCAGCAAGGTCCCAAAACACCTGCTTGTCATAAGAGCTGAGGTTCGGGTCATAACAATGTGGAACCTTATTTCCAGGAGTCATGTTCATGGTGTGAGCCTCCGATTTGCTTGTAAGAATCGGTGTTTTACAGGCCACTGTGGTATAATTTTAACAGTCACTCACGCTCATTTAGATCTCTTTCCCCAACGACGGCCGTGCACTTCCTCTTTGCAATCACACTTGTCACTAAGGTGAAAGGCGATGCTGCAAAGAACCGCCCCGGTTCTGCCATGACCTTGACATTGGAGCTCACGGGAAAGAACTCGTCTAGAGATCTATTCAAGGCGGTGGCAACCTGGAAATAAAATAGCTATCAGTGAACTCATTTACCATGTGCGTTCGTTCGTTCGTGCGTGCGTGCGTGCGTGCGTGGGTGCGTGGGTGCGTGCGTGCGTGCGTGCGTGCGTGCGTGCATACCAGTTATTTTTTGTGATTGGGACGTGGCAACTGTGGCAGCCCCCTATCACATGTCCACCCAAGTTCTATTTCCTACTTGGGTAGGATGCGCACCCTCCTTTCCCAAACTCCTGAATCCACCTAATTTATTACGCCATCTGGACCAGGACAGACAAGATGTTGTACCTTTTCAAAAGATACTGGTGCTCCTCTGTGTCCGTAGATACCTCCGCCAACGTCAAGAGTATGTAGAGTGAATCCCATCTTCGCTGCAATCCCAAACACACTGCTGGCTCTCTGTAGTGACGTGGCGAACACTTCCGGGTCCTTTATTCCGCTGCCCACGTGGAAACTGGTGGCGAGGATGACACATAGGAAAGCAGAGACAATGTCATGTATTAACCAGCGCGGATACCGAATACTGGCAACGTATTCGTCACCACTCGCCTCTTTCCGTATCCTGCAAGAAGACTCGTCCCCCTATCGATGAATGTTATGTTCGAAAATACGACAAACCAATCAGAATGCGCGCATGATTTCAAGTTCTTCGTCAAAGAATCTCTCAGAAATAATTTTTGATTTTACATATGTCTTGCATCTAAAAATATACCCAAGGCACAGTTTAATGTGTTCAATCATACTGTACAATTCCGCACGTCCAGATGTGCTTTAAATTGCATCTGAAATATATATAATATATGGGGAAATATATGTGAACCATTACGCGACGAGTTGACAATTAGTTTTGGTATGCCCGTTTGCGCTAAGACGGAACCCGGTCGCAAAAATGGCCACGAGAGGGGAGAAGTCGCTATTCGGCTTGTCCGGAAAAACACGATTTTTTTTTGATTTTTTTTTTTTAAATCTTTTTTATTATTATTCCATTTCATGTATATTGTTACAAGTGTAGGTATTAACATGTATATATATGACAGTATTAACACAAGTTATAGTTTTCATAGGTGAGGACAGGCAGGTTGTGTAGGATATGTCGTCTTCTCAAACTGAGAGGGAGATTATAAATATTTGTTTACAAGAAATAGATGATTACTAATTAACAGGTAGTATGTTTCAACTGCTTTGTTAGATTATGAGATGTAAGTTTTGCCATTTCTGAGCATATTGGTTAAATTGATTATTTTTTTAGCGATAAAACTTTCCAAACAAATTATGTCTTTTAGTAGTGAAAGAAATTGCTCGAAAGATAAATCTTGTTGTTTAATGTTTGATATGTAGATGAATCTTTTTGCTAATATAATAATATGATTTTTTACATGGTTTTGAGTGGAAATACCAAAAAAGATATTAAGTTTCGAAAGGATAAAATTTGTTTGCAGGTTGTTATTTAGGAAGTTTTCAACTTTAAGCCAAAATTGTTGAACAGATTGGCAATCGAAAATACATGAGACATATCTTCAGAAGCAGTTTTACAGAAAGTACAAATATCTTCATCGACAAGTTTCATCTTGAATAATTCTTTCTTAGCGTAAATTATTCTGTTTATAAATCGATATTGAAAATCTAAAAGTTTACAATCGCGCGTGCATTTTCTATAACATAGAAGTATATCTTTCCAATCCAAACCTTGAGGAAAAAAACATATTCAAGTGTTCTAATGATTTCGGTACAGTATCCTTCCTAATTAGTTCATCATAAAAAGTCCTTGATTTTTTAACGTTATTAAAGAAGTGTTTACATATATTGTTCAGCTGAACTACATTAACATCAAGGGTTTTGTCTCTGATTTGAAATCTCCAACTCTTTGGAATATTGTTCAGTAATTTTTGAAAGTCTAGAAAAGTTGGAATAACACGAGTTGGTCACGAATACAGGCAACGATGTCTAGCAAGATGTGGATCAGTTTAATAATGATGTTATGTTTGGAGCAGAAACATCGAACAAGGTTCTTCATAAAGGTCGTAGATGACAACACGAGTGGCTGTCATATACTATGTTACAACGCGAGAGAACTCGTTTTAAAACGAGTTGTAAAATAGTTGGTGCATGTCAGGCACGAGTGCAGTAATCTTGGTGTTATACGCAAACTAAAATCTGGAAATTGATCTCAGGAATGTTTGATACAACTTCTCTCAAATGGGTTTCTCACCCACAGGTAAGAAAAAATTGTACGCTAAAGGAGGTTAATGACTCGTTTTTCACACGAGAGCCCATCAGAAGAAAGTAGTGGTGGAGTGATTTGGTAGGAAAAGTAAGTTTCCAATCATAGCCCAGAAATAACAATATTCGTTTATTAGAAAAAGCTCACTTCTCATGATGTTTATCTTTTTCTCCGATATGACACCTCACCACGCAAAAATGTTATAGCCTCACCAATCAGCGCTTAGGCTTCGAAATTCTCTGTACGAATGAGTGTCACAATCAGACCAGCATAAACGAAGTTAAGCGGCCAGTTCCGAATATAAATAATACAGGCCGCTCCATCATGTTCATGAGACTTTATACACCCGGTCGTTTCTAAAACGGCATGGCATGTACACACAGAGTACCATCGGAGGCATATTGATGTTATGTGTATGTTTTCTTTTGTTAAAATTGAAATTTCCGAATCGAAGTGGTAATAAAACGAAGCCCAATTGGTATAGAAAGCTGGCAAATAATTAACTCAATAACAGACTCATGCTTAGTTTGAGTGGTCCAAGATCGCTTAAGATACGCCTGACGCGACCTTCTATGGATGGATACCAAAAGACGTTAAAAGATGGTACTTGTTGTTCCCCTGTCTGGCGCCTGGATAAAACCCCGGACCTTCCGCTCTCCGGGCGGACACTCTACCACTAGATCACGGACGCGGTCCCGATTGTATAGCCCACTGAGATACCATGCCGCAGTTTAACATGAATACCCCACTCAAACACAGCATACCGACCAGTCCTTGTTTCAAGCCCTTAATGCCGAGCGCCAGACAGGGAAACAACAAGTACCATCTTTTAACGTCTTTTAAAACAAGGACTGGTCAGTGAGCTAGCACTATAAATCGGCATCAGTCCGGACTAGTACAAGCGCGAGCGCGCGCACACACACACACGTCGCAATATAAGTGCAATAATCTTGGACGCGACGTTAAACCCCATTTCACCTCACCTTTTATGGAGGGGTTGTCCTATCTTCACACAAGTAGGAGATAAAGATATGTGTTTAATGAGAGTGGACAGGGGGGAACCAAGCGACTGACCTTACTCCTACAACGTCAAGATCAAGGTTTTTAGCTGTCCGCAGTAGGTCGCTGACGTCACCAGGGTGGCAGCCAAACTTGGCTGAGAGGTCGTACATAACTTTATTGCCAGCTGGGGGGACAATCCGCATTAGGAGTCTGGAAACATATGGAGACATATAATATTTAGATCACAGGGGTTTGTAATTTTTCTGTCCTGTATCCAAAGTATAATAAACATGAAAAGGGATGACATTCTTGCCGATGTAAGAGATGTTGTGACATTGCACTAAAGCTGATGTATACATGTACGTATATCCTTGAATTGCAGGCAGTGATCGTCAGCAGGCAGTATATATATACCAATGCTTATATGGAGTAAATATAAATGGTCAATGCAAGAGAATAACCAGCCTAGATAATCTGCCGAAACAGATTCCGCTTGGCGTGGGTGAGTACGTACGGCTTCACGACGCTTTTAGCAATATTCCAGCAATATCACGACGGGGGACACCAGAAATGAGTTCACACATTGTACCCATGTCGGGAATCGAACCCGGGTCTTGAGCGTGACGAGAGAATGCTTTTACCACTAGGCTAACCACCGCCCCTCCACTTGGCGTAAAGGGCAAATAGCTTTGGAAGTTATATGAATGGACCACTGGTCAGTGATGACGAAAAGGGTATGCATGTCCTGCTCTACCGGTAGCACCCGCCATTCAAACAATTTGCATAATAAGAAAGTATTTATTGCCTAAAACAACACAGCAGTACTCCTGCCTTGCGACGTCAGCCTGTAAACAAACCAGACAATCAAGTGATCGATGAACCAGAATATCCAGTGACACGAGAGTAATATTACTGATTTGGTTGAAAATAATAAAAACGGTGTGCCAATTTTGAACTACGTCTGCTGTACAAGTGCAGAGATTTTGCTGCTTATAAGTAAAGAAAAATGTCAAGAAATATATTCCTTTTGCAACATAATGGGGCGCAGTTTTAAAGTCTCGGCCCAAACATTTCTTTTCTAGCTGACTCAGCACAGATAAACGCTACTGAGCTTATGGTGAAACCCGGGGACTTCAGTCCACCAGCAGAAACATTGACCCAGTTCAAGTGAATATAAAATGTCAATGCCAGAGAATAACCAGTCTAGATTTTCTAAGAAACGCTTAGAGCGAGACGAGAGGACCTCATGGCATAAGCATGACATCATCGTCATGTGACAGTTCTGCGACTGATGTCTGAGCACATGAATCAGACATTTTAAGGAACAGTCATAGCAAAGTTTTTTTGCTGTTTAACTAATTGCCAAGAAATACTTTCAACAATATCGTGACTCCAAACCTAAGAGATCAGCATGGCCGTCTTGTCAACTTAAAACAAATCAACTCACAACAGGAGACACAAATAGTACTCTTCAGTACCAATATCAGGTATCCCCGGTGGCTGTGAGCTTTCAATAGTATATATACATCTGTTATAATCTCATTAAGATCAGATCAAAGATCTGAGGACATTCCTTTACGGGTCACGTCAGAACGACCTTTCATCCAACTTATCAAAGCGTCGCTTACCAGATCATGAAAGTGACAGTCGGAATGTGGTTTCTAATCATGCATCCTCGAAATACTTAACACAGGGTATTCGAACGACAGTGGGCTTTATGTCTGTATTCATACAATCTAGACCATCTATTAGCCATTCCAGGCTGTTCTTTTTATTAGTTTAAAAAATTATAATCGAGGATACGTCAAAATATGTTTCGAAGCGTGGTCGCCAGTTTGAAACTAGTGTCGTAAAGCTCGAGAAAACTGCCTTCTGATTGTCTTATGTCGATTTCATTGGCCGGTCAAAGTTCGCGAAAGGTCGTTCTGACGTTACCCGTAATGGGATGTCCTCAGATCTTTGTTTAGCGGTAGCGAAATGTAAGATCTGTTTTAATGAGATTGACATCTGTTATAAATTTACAAATACCTTAGATCCAAGGGAAGACCGGGTAGCACAATGGCTAAGCGTTTGTTTTATTGTCACAGTGATTGTGATTTGTTATTCAGCACGGTCAAAAATACCTTATGGTATAGCACAAAATCACATACCACTTGGAGATAACTCCCCTTTCGGGAAATTTAAATAATGTAATCATCAACTTACGCCATTAGTCTCGGACGAACGTATCCAAGATTTACTTTAAACCCTTAAACCATAAAAAATATCATATAGAATTTACAATTACTATGACGAATCACCACTTTATACCCTGTCACTGGTTATAACGTAGCTCACTTTCACTCTTTCATATTTATCCGGACCGCCTCCGTGGTCTAATGGTAGAGCGTCCGCCCGGACGTTAAACCCCATTTCACCTCATATTTATCCACTAACACATGCAATGTTATCAACAGTTCCTGTACGGGAGTGCATCAGCATCGTTCAGAAGCAGTTAACGGTTACACAGAAGCTGTATGTTGGGGATGTAACGGTTATATAGAAGCTGCATGTTGGGGATGTAATATTTATATAGAAGCTGTATGTTGGGGATGTAATATTTATATAGAAGCTGCATGTTGGGGATGTAATATTTATATAGGAGCTGCATGTTGGGGATGTAATATTTATATAGAAGCGGTATGTTAGGGATGTAATATTTATATAGAAGCTGTATGTTGGGGATGTAATATTTATATAGAAGCTGTATGTTGGGGATGTAATATTTATATAGGAGCTGCATGTTGGGGATGTAATATTTATATAGAAGTTGTATGTTGGGGATGCAATATTTATATAGAAGGTGTATGTTGAGGATGTAATATTTATATAGAAGCTGCATGTTGGGGATGTAATATTTATATAGAAGCGGTATGTGAGGGATGTAATGGTTATATAGAAGCCGCATGTAATGGTTATATAAAAGCGGGATGTAATGGTAATATAGAAGCGCGATGTAATATTTATATAGAAGCGGTATGTTAGGCGTGTAATAGTTATATAGAAGCGGGATGTAATGTTTATATAGAAGCGTTATGTTAGGGATGTAAAGGTTATATAGAAGCAGTATGATGGGGATGTAATGGTTATATAGAAGCGGTATGTTAGGGATGTAATGGTTATATAGAAGTTGTATGTTAGGGATGTAACTGTCATATAGAAGCTCTATGTTGAGGATGTAATATTTATATAGAAGCTGCATGTTGGGGATGTAATGATTATATAGAAGGTGTATGTTGGGGATGTAATATTGATATAGAAGCTCTATGTTGAGGATGTAATATTTATATAGAAGCGGTATGTTAGGGATGTAATGGTTATATTAAAGCGGGATGTAATGGTTATATAGAAGCGGGATGTAATCGTTATATAGCAGCGGTATGTGAGGGATGTAATGGTTATATAGAAGCGGAATGTAATGGTTATATAGAAGCGGTATGTAAGGGATGTAATTGTTATATAGAAGCGGAATGTAATGGTTATATAGAAGCGGTATGTTAGGGATGTAATTGTTATATAGAAGCGGGATGTAATCGTTATATAGTAGCGGTATGTGAGGGATGTAATGGTTATATAGAAGCGGAATGAAATGGTTATATAGAAGCGGTACCTTAGGGATTTAATTGTTATATAGAAGCGAGATGTAATCGTTATATAGTAGCGGTATGTGAGGGATGTAATTGTTATATAGAAGCGGAATGTAATTGTTATATAGAAGCGGAATGTAATTGTTATATAGAAGCAGGATGTAATCGTTATATAGAAGCGCTATGTGAGGGATGTAATGGTTATATAGAAGCGGAATCTAATGGTTATATAGAAGCGGGATGTAATGGTTATATAGAAGCGGGATGTAATGGTTATATAGAAGCGGGATGTTAGGGGTGTATTTTTTTATATAGAATCGGGATGTAATCGTTATATAGTAGCGGTATGTTAGGGATGTAATGGTTATATAGAAGCGGGATGTAATGATTATATTGAAGCGGGATGTAATATTTATACAGAAGCGGTAAGTTAGGGATGTAATGGTTATACAGAGGCGGAATGTAGCGGTTATATAAAAGCGGGATGTAATGATTATATTGAAGCGGGATGTAATATATACAGAAGCGGTAAGTTAGGGATGTAATGGTTATATAGAAGCGGGATGTAATGGTTATATAGAAGCGGTATGTTAGGCCTGTAACGGTTGTATAGAGGCGGAATGTAATCGTTATATAAAAGCAGTATGTGAGGGATGTGACGGTTATATAAAAGGTGTATGTTAGGGATGTGACGGTTATATAGAAGCGGTATGTTAGGGATGTGACGGTTATATAGAAGCGGTATGTTAGGGATGTGACGGTTATATAGAAGCGGTATGTTAGGGATGTGATGGTTATATAGAAGCGTTATGTTAGGGATGTAATGGTTTTATTGAAGCTGTATGTTAGGGATGTAATGTTTATATAGAAGCTGTATGTTGGGGATGTGATTGTTATATAGTAGCGGTATGTTAGGGATGTGACGGTTATATAGAAGCGTTATGTTAGGGATGTAATGGTTTTATTGAAGCTGTATGTTAGGGATGTAATGTTTATATAGAAGCGGGATGTAATCGTTATATAGAAGCGGTATGTAATGGTTATATAGGAGCGGTATGTTGGAGATGTAATGGTTATATGGAAGTGGTATGTTAGGAATGTAAAGGTTACTCGCCATTTTTATATGCAAATTACATGAGCATGTATTCATGACATGGGGTAAGAACCCAAATGAAGCCACATCTAAGATCTGTGTTTCCCGGAAACTCTTTCATTCACCCAGTGAACCGCCAGTGTGTCATCCCTCTGGCAACCTGCCTAATCACGACAAGCGGCGTTAGGCAACAAACAAAACTTCTCTTTTATGAAAATCGTGTGAGGGGCGGTACAGCAGAACATGCTGATCCATTTCATGAACGCCTGAAGTCATCACTGGTCTTCCATATAGTTTTCCACTGATCCAAAAAGCTTTCATCACTAATTTACCTTTTATATGTTTCGAGACTGTTTATTCTGACGTTTGACCTTTTGAAGGCAAAGATTCATACCAAATCTATGCTGACTGCTTCTTGTGTAGCATAGTGATAAAAGCGTTCGCTCGTCACGCAAGGGTTCGATTCCGCACATCGGTACAATGTGT